CAGACTATGGAAGTGGGCAGGAGACAACAGGATGGCGTTCAATGTGGATAAGTGCAAGGTCTTGCACTTGGGACATAAGAATAGCTGTCATAAGTACAGGTTAGGTGGCAAGTGGCTGGAGAGCAGCACTTGTGAAAGGGACCTCGGGGTGCTGGTTGACTGCAGGCTAAACGTGAGTCAGCAGTGTGATGCGGTGGTCAAGAGAGCGAACACCACCCTTGGTTTTATAGCCAGAAGTGTGGCTTCTAGATCAAGAGAGGTATTACTACCACTCTACATGACTCTAGTGCGCCCACAACTGGAGTATTGTGTTCAGTTTTGGGCCCCTCATTACAGAAAGGATATAGTCAGGTTAGAGTCAGTGCAGCGTAGGGCCACAAGATTGGTGGCCGGTTTGCAGGGGATGCCGTATGAGGCAAGACTGAGGGAACTGGGTCTCTTCAGCCTGGAGAAGAGGAGACTCAGAGGGGATCTGTTGGTGATATATAGGTATGTGAGGGGGTGTCACACAGAGATGGGTAGAGACCTGTTCTCCCCTGCAGAGGAAGGCAGGATGTGCTCCAATGGAGCAAAGCTCAGGGAGCCAAGGTTCCGTGTGGATGCCAGGAAGCAATTCCTGACAGTCAGGACCCCAAGAGTGTGGAATGGGCTTCCACGAGAGGTCGTTGAGGCCCCATCGGTGTGGGTGTTCAAGGATAGACTGGATGTGCACATGTTGGGCATGTCGTGAGCGGAGCCGGCTGGTGCCGGAGGTCAGACTAGTTGGCCCGAGAGGCCCTTTCTGACTCACTCTGTTTCTATGTTTCTATGTTAAACTTTCACCATTGCTGGCCAGCATTTTCACTCAGCCTGATGCTGAGTTGACTTCCTAGCAGTTCTGTGTTATGAATTGCTCTATGGAATATATGACAAAGATTTGTGCAGGTCCAGTATTTGCAGCCAGGCCTGAGGTCATCTGATCTCTCATGAAGGCCTGCACAGTTATTATAGTCTGAGGTTGGGATGCTTGAAGACTGGAAATCTTTATTATGTATTATTAGCTGTAACAACATCATCATCCTACTAGCTCAGTTTTCTACTGCTTATGGCAACTCTGCTTGCTTTCTTGCACAAGCATCCTGATTTTACTTCTACGAATTGTTCTTCAAGCAGTTGCACAAACTGATTGGCCAGCCATTCATGAGATGTTGCCAAAGGTATGGTGTAGTGGTTGAAAGCATGGAACTGGGACTCAGGAAATCTGGGTTTCTGAGCAGGGGCTAGAAGTCAGGTCTCCTGAGTCCCAGTCCTGCCATTGTTAACCACTACACCACACCAGATCTCAAAATGTAATGTAATGTAATGTCCATTGATTATGATGATAATGAATATACCTCCAAACAAGTCTGCATTTTGCCGATACATGTTCCCATCTTATGTATATTCTCAGAGAAGAAATTCTCAGCCTGCTTTGAGGGGCTGCACACTCCACAGTATCTACTGCAGTCTGCCACAGCCTTTAATTTTGGTTTGAAACACCTCTAATTTGTTGTGGATGTCAGTTGAATTCTCCGTCCGTGTTGCACGCTGCTGGCACATTGGCACAAGTAGCTCATGCACCAACAGGTGGGAGAATTTGATGCTCCTCCTGCTTCTTTCCTGGCCATGCCTTGCATACATTTCACTGAAGCACCCAGTGATAGTTCATAACTGACAGTATTTGGTAGGAGACATGGAGTAGCATTTAATATTTGGCACAGTATGACATTGTACAAGTAACCTAACTCAAAATGATCCAGAGAGGTCAACATGTCCGACTGTGAATGTTCTGCTGCAAAATTGACATCTAAAATCTGAATTTCAAATGCAATTTCAAATTGCATTACACTTTGCAATATGGAAATTCGTACCAGCCATTTTAGATATGTATTTTTCAGCAGAACTTTTTTAAAGTTCTGAGTTTGGGGGAGACAGTGTGCTTTCATGCCAAAAGTGTGATCATTCTGGGTTTACCTCACAATTTCTATGCAATTCTCAACAGTCTCAGCAGAGATGCCATGACACACACTGGGGCATGAGCTCATGGCGTGCAGCTATTTCATGCCATTTTGAATATATAATGTGCTGGGATCTGATGCATACCAATGCAGTCCCCTTGCAACACTGCCTGTACCAAGACTGCACTGGATACCCTTCCACAAATAGGATACCTCTGAAATTGCTTTCATCTGAACTTCAGCCCCGATGGTGGCATTTTCCTTTATCCTTCTTCGCAAAGTTGAGTCAGTGTATTAGGAATTCCCCCCATTGTTCCATTATCTATTTATGCCAAATTTTGCACAAATGTGCATTGCCCATGTTGACACAGCCTTGAGTGTCTTTTGGTTCCTTTACAGTTTCCCTCCCCATCTGTGTTGTCAATCCACATGTGCAGACGGTCTGAACTGTGCACCAACCAAATGTGTGGCATTTCACAGCTCAGAGGCACACATGTGCATTAGCTATATGCCACACCAAAAACTCTTGAAGCAATAATGATTATTGGTTAGATATTGTGGGGAGATGCAAAGGTCCTGCCGGGAATGAAAGCAGAAACAACTGCATGTACTCAAATATTCAGAACTGATGTTTAAAATCCTCTTTATTAAATAGTACTCAGAAGGATTAGAATGCAGGCCAGAACAAACTGCAAAAACAGAGGAAATCCTCTCATAGTTACTCCTAAAATTCCTAGCCATAAACTTCCTTTGCAAAGTGATGTTTTGCATGCCAGCTTGAATGGTGACTGTCAATCCAAGAAACATATGCTGTCCCCCTCATAAACTTTGTGAAGAAGGATAGATGACAGATTGCAGCATTCATCAAGCATTTGTTTATTGTATGCATATACGCTACCTTTCTCCCCACAATTGGCACTTCAAAAATTGTTGTTCATTTGCAAAGTCACCCCTGACTCTCTGCAACCCCATGGACAACATTCCTCCAGGTTCTCCTGTCCTCCACCATCCCCTGGAGTACACCCAACCCCACACCCACCTCCCCATCCAGTCACCTCAACCTCTGCCGCCCCCTTCTCCTTTTGCCTTCCATCGTTCCCAGCATCAGGGTCTTTTCTAATGAGTCCTTCCTTCTCATTAGGTGGCCAAAGTATTTGAGCTTCAGACTGAGTATCTGTCCTTCTAGGGAACAGTCAGGGTTGATTTCCTTTAGAATTGACTGATTTGATCTCTTTGCAGTCCAAGGCACTCTCAGGAGTCTCCTCCAGCACCATAATTCAAAAGCATCAATTCTTCGGCGCTCAGCCTTCCTAACGGTCCAACCCTCACAGCCATATATTACAACTGGGAAAACCATAGCCTGGACTATACAACTTCAACCATTATCAGAATTATAGTGGTGGTGCTTATTCTTTAATCATGTAACTTTCTCAAAAATAATGTATTGTTGGTGTGCAGACGCTAGATGGAAAAAAATCTAATTTCTATGAACAAATTTGCTCTAGATCTAGTGATTCAAAGATTCTCTTTGTCCTTCTCCCTATTTCTCTAGGAAAGGAAGAATACATCGCAACATTCAAAGGGTCAGAGTATTTCTGCTACGACTTGTCTCAGAACCCAATCCAGAGCAGCAGCGACGAAATCACGCTGTCTTTCAAAACCCTTCAAAGGAATGGACTGATGCTCCACACTGGAAAATCAGCCGATTATGTCAACCTTGCCCTGAAAAATGGAGCTGTTTCCTTAGTTATTAATTTGGGCTCAGGGGCCTTTGAAGCGCTGGTGGAACCTGTGAATGGGAAATTTAATGACAATGCCTGGCATGATGTGAAAGTAACCAGGAATCTGCGTCAGGTAACAGTACAATGGATACAGCAATAACTGACTTTGCTTCTGCCACAGCTAAGTGTTTGGTGACCTTGCAGTTAGCACAACATGCCATTGAGTGTTTAACAGACCTTTGCAATGTAGAGTTCAACGTGTTACCAAGAGATGGGTCATTCCTACCACATGTGAACACAGGCACACCTAGAAAGTGATTATGGTCCAGGCTCTCTCTGAACGTATATGTAAATTCAGTCAAAAGTTAACAGCTGATGGGGCGATTGCTGCTATGAAGACCTAGCCTAAGGCCAATTAGCCTTTCCTTCAGGAACTATCTTGTGCTTGTAGCTGTCTAGAGGACATGCATGTTGTTCAAGCAAAACTAAACAAAAGCAAAATACCCTGCCAGGAACAAGGAATAACTGAATCCAAAATGGAGCCTCTCAGTTGACATATGGAAAGATGTTTGAAAACTAATAAAATGATCCAATTATTAAAGGTTTAGCACTTCATAGGCAGAAGTGGGGATAAATGAGCACTGCTAGTAACTGGAAATGTGCACAGGTGCATATAACACAACACATGGTTACTTCCGCTCTGAAGGTTTTGATGGAGCTTTTATTAATTTATTCACTGAAAATTATTTAACTGCTTTTCATCAGAACTTTCTGGGGTGGGGTATGAAGGTGTGAGTTAAATTATTCACACAAGCATATCAATACAATATAATAAAATCAACTGAAAAAACGTAAGAGAATGTAACAATTAAGCCGTGTTTAGAAACTTGAATCAAATGGGAAAGGATTTTATCTAAAATTCCTGGGGAAATAAGAAGAGTATAAACTGGTGTTGAAAGGAGTGTTGTGTCAGACCCATAGATGAATGGGTCACACAACCTCTGTGGGAGCATCTGCAGCAGACCTATTGGTGGGCTGGTTATTATCCTCTCATTTTAATGTGTTACCCCTGAAGCTCCAGTCGTTCATGGGTCAACTGCACTAACCTTTACATGGAGTTTCTCCACCCAAATGAGCCTCCCATGTGTTCTAATAGCAGAACTCAATTTTTCCAAGAAAAGGAATGCTCAGTGCAAGCATGGAGAATTCACGGAAATACACAAAGGCCCGTCCTACCAACAACTCTAGACTCAAGTGCATTAATATATTCCATATGAAGGCAATAAACAGCATTTAAAATCCATACCAACACTTTACAGTCTAAGAGTGCCGTAGTGCACCTGAAGTCATTAATGCAAAAATGCCACTGAAAGAATTGTGAGTATGCCATACAGAAGTGATGGCACCATTGCACCCTAAGTAGGCCATTCTGAAATATCTTTGGCTGAGATGTTCTGAGCAGGTTCGACTTGACTTGATAGCCCTTTTATCCCTCTTCAAAGCACTTTTCGGGTGCTTTGCTTTTATCTTTACTGAAGGGAAGCACCAAATGTGATGTCTTCTGTGTCTTAATGGAATATCACATGCCCCATAAGTAACACCACACTTTTCCCATTGTTGATTATTCTTTGGGATCAGAGCTCATTACATCGACCATCATGTTGGCTTGGGTGACCTTTACACTCGGGTGGCTTCAGGCAAATCACTGTCTAGAGCATAAATGAGACTTGCCTTTTCGGGGACTCAAGCAATATGACTTCTACTCCACTGTATATAAAATGTTTGTAAGGGCTTCTGCTCACACAATGATGGACTATTGTACCATCATCTCCATGTAGTGTCATCCTCTAAACAAGGTGTTTAGAAAGCAAACATGATGGGGATTGATGTCAGAAGTACTCTGATTGGACTGGATCCTGCCAGGGACCAGGCATGATGCCACTTGGATCTATGTTAATGGAATCTTCTTAGGAAGACTTCTAACACTACAATAAAGAACTGAGCCATGCAGCTTCGGTGAAAATGTGCAAATTAGAGATAGAACCCCCCTCCCCACAATCACTCCAAGAAATAAGCAAATTAGAAGCAACCCATTAAGTTCAAATAAGCTTGAGTTCCTTGCTTTGGTATATCCCTTATCCCTGCATACCATAAATATCTTCTGTGAAGGACAGGAGAGCAAGAAACTCTCTGGGGGCAGATTTTCAGGGGTTATGAAAGACTTCAAGGAGAGAGGGAGAAAGTCCCATGACATTCATGGAGTTCAACTCATGCAACACTGGATTTCACCCAAGGAGCTGTACTTCCCCTTTTTCCCCTTCCAGTATAAGATATGGAAATAAACATAGAGGGGTGGACTTCATTAGCTCAGATTTCCGGAGCATTATCTGACCTCTGCAAAATCCATTTCAGATACGGAGCTCTGAAATGAGTGGCAGGTGAGCGAGTGGAAGTACACCTCATTTACATTCCCTGATTTCAAGGAAATATGAAAAACCACATTTTTCAGGGATGTTCTCAAGAAAATAGCTCTAAAATCATTTGCAGATTTGTGTACACAATTAACCAACCCATAGAATCCTGAAAAGACTAAGTAAGTCATAGTTATGACATGGGCAGTCTGGTTTCTTTTTTACTATTGCACCTGGAGTTTTAAAGCACACTTCCCTACCAATTCCAGAAGAAAGGGGGATTTAACTAAGTTGCCCCAGCAGCCCCCTTTCTAGGTGTGCCTTTGCTCATCCAAAACTGTTCAAAAGAATTCAACCTAGAAAAAATATGGGGCAGGAACAAGCATAATGAGTTCTAGATGTTCAAGCTGGTGCATGACCAGAAAGGTAGTTGCAGAAATCCATTCTACTCATCGTTATGTGTCAGGATATTTGCTTTGTTTCATTGCAGTAGACTGTGATCCTAAAGTCCATCAATATGACCGAAAGACGTTTTGGAGTTGAAAAGGAGTCCTTGTGTGCTGAGTAAAACAAAAATACGATTAAAATTATTTCCAAAAAGAAAGAGAAACAACCAAAAAAAGATACAAGTACTAGGGGATTCCTACTGATTTGTTGGGGAATGAGTTTGGGAAGGGTTGGGGACCAGGAAAGCAGAGGTCAGATGATGAGCTTTAGGCATTCCAAACCCAAGAGTCATTTTGAATGTCTGTCAGAAACATTCAGTTAGAGAAGAACAAAAGGAATGTGGTCGTACGTCTGTTTCTGTCTGGTGGAGAACGGCAATAAGTTTGACAGTATATTTCTATATCAATCTCTCTATAAATATATTTGCAGGAAAATACAACTGCTGTTACCTCTGTGGAGGCATATCTGTTAGTCTGCTTTTTTATTTTTCCTTGTAAAATTATTTTGCCCTTTTTTCTGTGTTACTAACATGCTTAATAACTAACATGTCATTCATGGAATGTTTCATTCTACTAACCGTTACCTGAACCAAAATAATGTACTAACATTGGTAGTGACCATCATATTTTTTAAGTAAACGATCGTTATTCTGTTCACAAGTTTTTAATTTCCTTTCTCCCCCCTTCTCCACAAAGCACTCAGGCATTGGACACGCTATGGTAAACAAACTACATTGTTCGGTAGATATCATTCTAATTGTTTCTTATTTTGGGTTTGCCGTGTGTTTCCTTTCTTTCTTTTAACTGTAGACATCATTAACAAAAGAGGAACTGCGGTTGGTACTCTTCTGCTTACTTTTTTAACCTCCTCTTCATCTGTTGTTGACCTCCTAGTTTATTTTCCTTTATCTGTTCCTGTCCAATTCTTTCTCTCTCTCTCTCTTTTTTTTGAACTCACACGTAGAGGGGCATCGTTAACATTTTGCATCAGAAGCTGTGGTTAACTAACAAGGGATTACGCTAGCCTAATATGCCGCCGGCCCAGCCGGCCTTCTAACCATTCATAATGCATGGCATGCTGGCACGGATGGGAATGACGGAGGTGACACATCCACCCATGGTGACTTCATCAACAAGCTTTTGGTTCTTTCCATTCCTTTCTCGCCCTTTCTCCTCCTCCTTCGAGACTCGCTTCCTGCATGCGCTGCTCCGAGCGGGCTGCTGCCGCTCGGTCGCTCTTTGCTGGGTTCCTCCTTCTCTTCCCCCACCCGGCTTTGGCATGGAATTAATGCCCTTGCATGGACATACGCTGCTATATATTAATAGTGCAAACAGTGATGGTGCTGCTGGTGATATTGCTTGTGCCTTTTTTCTGTTATTAAGGTGCACGTTCTTTTTATTAGTCAATGACAGACTTTACTGAACTTACTAATATGTAACACCAGCTAAACTAACCTAGAAAGCATTCTACTAACACCATTTTTGTGTCTGCTAATCGATCTTTTGAGTTGCAAGTAGGGACTTCTGACACTAGCTCAATAATAAGACAACTCTTTTAACTAGTTAGAGCTCCTAGGATAGAATCCAAGACTAAACCGCAAACAGACATGAAAATGGGCTCCGGCTTAGGTCTCAAAAAATAATGAAAAACTAAAAATAAAAATAAAAAACCAGGCATATCCCAGGACATTAGCATGTAGGTCTGAGTATAGCGTGTCCTTTCCCTGTGCTTTGTTATCTAGGTGACAATATCAGTGGATGGGATTCTGACCACGACGGGCTACACGCAAGAAGACTACACCATGTTGGGTTCCGATGACTTTTTCTATGTCGGAGGCAGCCCCAGCACGGCAGACTTGCCAGGGTCACCAGTCAGTAACAACTTCATGGGCTGTCTCAAAGAGGTAAACGATCTCACATACCATAAAAGCCATTCCATCATGGAAGTCTAGAGATCGGTGGAGGCCTGTGCCTTATAATCTCAGCAACTCTTTGCATCTCTCTCTCTCTCTCTCTCTCTCTCTCTCTCTCTCTCTCTCTCTCTCTCTCTCTCTCTCTCTGTGTGTCTCTCTCTCTTGCCTGAGATTTAAGAACTTGCAATAGTAGTTTCAATTGATGCAAACAGAAGAAATTATCTGAAATGGAACATCCCATCAAATAAGATGTTAATCTGAACACGTCTAATATCACTTCCTCTGCCCATCTCTAAAAATTTCATGACTAATGTACTGTATGAATGAATATTGTCTGTGCTGAAAATGCCTCTGAAGAAGATACTCTGCTGTATTTAATAACACTAATATAAAGGTTCGTTATTGTTGTTCTAGATAAGCTGCCAAAGGATGTAAATGAATTGATTCAATGATATAGCCAGCTGTGGGAAGCTTCATTTTTTCCTAGTTGTCACTCATTAAAAGAAAAAATACATCCACAGATATTTTTTTTTGAAAGCTGGGTGAGGAGTTTTAGTCTAGATCTCTCCCCAGTCTGCTAATTTGTGTATTTTCTTTCTTTTTTGGTCATGGCATGGAATAGCATTTCATCATTTGGACCAGAGTGGTACAGCCCAAGCATGGCCATGGATACCATGGTGCAGAGAAAGTTTCTGAGTGGTTAAATTAAGTTACGGTGATGTGTTTCATTGCTCCCTCTACTCATGCAAACTAGTTCAGTCACAATAGAGGTGTGCCATTTTTGGAAACACTCTGGGACCAGTGGGAAACTTAGTATCTGAGAAGGCTTGCTTGCATACCTGTTCAGCTTGTCCACAGCAGTGTGAGAGTTGCAGTGCCTGTGCAGAGTTCTCCCACTGACCTGCTCATAGGTAGCTCCTGGCATATATGCATGCTCAGAATCTTCTTATGCACAGGTAGATAGGAGAAGTTTTCGGTGCTACCAGATCAAGTCTGCAAGATGCTTCCAACAATGCAGATCAATGAGCTGGTAGTGTTTCTATCATTGCTCACATTTCTGAAAAAAATTGCTAGATTTAGCATGGAGAATCTAATCACAGGCAATTTGACCAAGAAAATATGGCCACCATGATGCTTCATCTGCATATGGAAATCAGTCATGCAGGATGTCATGCCCTAAGTAAGGTTGATGGATTTACTTAAAACAAAACAAAAAAGAAAGATTTGGTATACAGAACCTTTAAATGTCATATGCTGTGTACAAACAGGAAGGGAAGGCTGTGACCATCACATTCTTTTTTGAGCTTTCCAAAGGTGTTGGGTTATCCACACCCAAAAAAGGAGAAAATAAGATGGATTAGATGGCTCCTTTGTTTGATCCAGTAAGCCAATTCTTCATGTGGAAATGATCTGACAGGATCCATTTCTGTATGCATAACCTAGTTTTGCTTATTTATCCTCTCCATGTTATGTTTTCAAACACAAGGATGAGTTATAGGCATATTTCTATGCCATTCAATAACAGGCCAAGGAAGGCAGACATGTAACCACGTGTACAGAAATGTATTGATTCTGACAACATGTGTAGCAGTTCAAGCATTTTGGGGTTTTGTCTGCAGCCAAATGCATCTGTTAAAACCTAGTCTTCAGTTCTAAGAGCAACATTTTTCCTAGTTGTACAGCTCTTTCCTGCTAGTCTAGCAAAAGAATGCCATTTCTACAGTTGTTAAATTCTGACAGATGATTGTGATAATACTAGAAGTATAAATAATTCAATGATGACTATTGGGCAGGAGTTGATGGCAGGAGGGAAATCTTGGGGAACATGTATTCAAAGCATTTGAGATATCCTACATAAAGGGTTTCTTTAGAAGTTTGCCATGAAAATTACAATAGCAAACAAAGGCTTTCATGATATAAAAGTTGGGATGATATTTTTCTGTTTTAAAAAACGGCTAAAGAGAAAGTGGTAGAAGCTAGATTTGGGTTTGCACTGATTATTTTGTGTCGTCTTGAGTACATTCCTATCGCTATACATCAATTGTGTGAAAATACTTCATAATTTATAAGAACAGAAATTACAAAGTGTTTCGCAAATTAACCGCAATATCAACAAATGGTAAAAGTCATTTTTTAAAAACAAAGATGGCATCTTCCTTTTCTCCTCACATCCAATTAAATAAAAATATTTAGATGTATACTGCTTAATCCTGGAGCTTAACCCATGAAGTGTGTCAGCTTTTAGCTGGCTTTGAATCTGTATTAAATTAATTTTAATTAGAACTCTGAAGTAGAGTCGAGCACTGATTGAGAATAACATTTGAAGAAGATGGAGTGATAATGCACTTACTGCAGTTATGACCCACCAAGTCAAATGCATCCCACCCGCTGTCTTGCTAGCTGATTTGCATTTCCTTTAGGCAAGCCTCCAAAACAGACCAAGCAAACACAAGGGCGATCGAGCCCTCGCTCTGCTGCCATACTCTGATGGAGGCTTCTGTTTGGCTTGAGGACTCATAAGTCCTACTGTGTTTAAGACATTGGTTAGGGCTTACCTACAAAACCCATGATGAGCAATTCTGGTGCATCGTCAACACCTCCTTATGCACAATGGAATATGTAGAAGAAGGAGAGAGGAACAGGAGTTTCCGGCTGTATCTCTTTCACATCCATTCATTTACAGCGCCATTTCACCTTTTCCATGCCAGTCTTTATTAATTTATTTCTTAAAGCGTTTTCAGTTAAAGACACAAGACAGTGTTTAAAGCTGGTGCAGCACTGATGCTAAAGACACACTATGGTAAACTAAGATTAGTTGTACACCATAAATGCTTATTAAACAATGAGGGAAAGGGGAGATTTGCCCCAAAAGTGTTTCATTCTGTCCCTGTGTCTAGAAAACGCCGGTGGCAGTGTGCTAGCGATGGTCAATGCTTGTGCAACATCCTCGAAGCTAGTAACTCTTGCATTGTTGGATATTATTTTTTGTAACACCCATTTTAAAATACATTTTCTGTGCTATTATCTCTGTGGGTGTGGGTATTTTGGAGCTTAGGACTTCCCCAGACCATTCAGGAGGTGCAAAATTGGGCTGTTCATTCAGTTTATTGTGCACTGGGAAATGCAGACTGGATCAGTTTTCACTGGAGTGCATGAAAAGTTGCATTCTTTTAGCATCCCTAATAATAAGTAGAAGAGGATTTAAGGTTGTGTATAATACAGAATTTACACAGCATCAAACAATGCAATGTAGGGAAAAGAGGAAATAATCTTGGTATTCCTCCCTCATCCCAACAATTTTTTTGGGATATTGAAATAAATAAATAAATAAATTTGCACCTACATTCCCCCCTAATGATGCTATGCTATGTTATGTTATTTTATTATTTTATTATGTGCAGTGGTCTATGTGTGTTTTTCAATGAACCACCTGGGAGAGAAGCAAAGCAGAACATAATTATAACATTAGGACTGTCTTAAATATATGGGGTGTAATGGCTCTCTTTTAGACCTTGTCATTCACAGGCTTCTAATAGATTTATAAGATTTATTTTTAATAGATTCATAGCCTCCTAATTGATTCATTTTTAATAGACCCTTATCATCTTTTTCAGTGAAAACAGAGAAGAGCTACATTCTCTCTATCTTATTACAGTTAATTTCATATATTCATTAATTTAATCCAGCACAAGTAACAGAACAGAGCAGATTACACTGATGGGACAAAGTGAATTCACAAAACAGGATAGGGTCAGTTTGAGAATGTATAAATTCACTAGATCATTAGTCTTGAACTAGTGGGCCAAGATTCATAAGTTCATCTACCAATGCATTGCAACTCTTTTCTTTTTAAAAAAAAAAAAAGAAACAGCATATATATGCAGAAGGAGTGTTTCTGCTCTTTTTCTTTGTTTAAGAGTAGGAGGCAGATGCAAACACAGAAACAGGAGAAAGCAAAACCCATAAATATAATAAAAATAAAAAGGTGCAATGAAAGCCAAACAAATGGAAGGATGAGTAAAAATGCACCATTTGGTAGGAAGGATTATAGCAGCTTCCAGACTGCTAACTGCATACCCACCACCTGAAAAATTGGAAGACTAATAATTGAGTTCCAAACATTTGTAAGGAACATTCAGCACTTCATATATAACCATTTACAGACCTATTCTTTAGGAGACACACTTTCTAGGTAAGAATGTCTGCCCGTCTTAGGTGTCGAATCAGTGGCAATTTTCTGGAAGTTGTTAAAGTAGTGGTGGCACACCAGTATTAGCTGAGATCCACAGCATATATATCACCATGCTATAACAAATGTGTCATTTATCTCACAGACAGTAAGGCAACAGTTCCATAAACATGGCAAGTTATTAATAGTATCCCTGCATTAATTATAAATTTATTATAATTATGACAAGGGAGATATAATGATCTCCCTGCCTTCTTCAGCAATGTAGCTTTTCCTCCTGCAATTCCTTGAGGCTGTTCCCAAATAGCTGCTGGATAAATGGCTTGGAGGAATAGGCTTTATTTATGTTTATTTGATCCCCGAACATTTCGTATGAAGATCCACCCTCATCTGGTAGAAAGCACTTCTGTCAGCGTAGGCTCATAGTTTTGTTTCAAGGACTTTGTGCCCAGCTGATCTGTTACACCCGACAGGCGATTCAAAATCACTTCGTAAAATCCATTGGAAAAAAAGGTGCTGGAATGCTGTTCCGGTGTGTTCTATGACAAAAAAAGCCCTGACCCTAACTAACTCTGTTTATTTATTTGACTTCTATTCCATGCTACTAGTCCCATAGGACTAAGCAGAGTACAGCAACAATAAAAAAGAGTAAACAGAGTAAAACGCAATATAACAATAAAATAACAATAAAACAGCAAGGTACAGAAATGGCTAACAATATACAGTGACAATATATAATATCAGGAGTGATAAGTTAAAACAATCTCATTTAAAACAGACTATATAAACAGACTTATTTTTG